CGAGTTGTGGCCGTAATATGAAGAACCATTTTCCGAAAAGCACATTTCTCGTTCTTGGCAGTATTTTTTTCTTTGTCTTCACAATCTATGACTAGATCAAGATATATACGGCTACTCCCACTTTCTTGCTTGCCCTAGCTCTATGGTATTACTTTAATATTTTTACGACTCATGACAGTGCTCATGACTAACGATAATTATATAAACTTCTACTCAGCAATGCATGTATCAACACGCAGTTTTCTTGTTCTGGGGCCGGTGGTATTAGAAGATTTTATAAAAGAGCTTAAAAACAAAGGAAAAGCAAGAGCTAAAACGTAAAATGGAGAGCTAAAGGACTAAAATAAAAATCTTCTGCAATCGTTGACAAGCGCAACAGCGAAAGTCTTTCAGCTCCCGGATGAAAAATCGAGTCTGCTAGTAGCGTTTAAGCTGATTCAACCAGTGGCGTACGGGAGATGATAATTGGGGGCACATGTTCGTGTATTCATGTTATGCTAGATTAATTTCTTTTGAAATCCATTGTCTTTACAGGTCTGTTAACATGACTATATGAATATGTGCCCCCCAATTGTCGTCTTTCGTACGCTACTGGATCCAACGGGAGCAGGCAACACCTGCCGAGGAAAGGATAATAGAATAAAAGCTGAAAACAAAAACTTAAAAGCTTCCGCAAGAACGTTGCAAGAGGATATTGTTAAAACAAGGAAAGGAAAGCAAGAGTTCACCGATACGAAGGAACAGTGCAGAGGCACACCTAAAACACCTGAAACCTCAAAATCTTACGACAGTCTGAATTTTGAAAGTGAAAGTGACCAAGACGATGATGTTATGTTGTTACCACCTACAGCTGTAGGAGAGCCAGCAGTTCGTCAATACGAATATATGGCACCCCAGCACAACCCCTACAGATGAAATGACCAAAAATAAAATCTTATTCATAGGTGATTTAATGATCAAAAATATAGATCCTCATAAACTGTAAAAGCTCAGTAGTTCGAAAATTAACATTTCGATTAAAAAATTAAGAAAAATCAGCTATGGTAAACGGGATGAAGAAATGGCAAATGATGTTCAAGCGGTTCACATAAACTGCTCCGGCCCCCACAGAGGCAATCATCATACACGCAGGCATGAACAATCTAATAACAGACACAAGTAACGAATGCTGTAAAAACATCAAGCGCTGTTTAAATTTACCTCATCCAAGACGAGTGATATATTCAGGGCCGTAGCTAGAAAATTAATTTAGGGGGGGGTTGTATATTCATATATTCTCCCTATGCCCGACTGATTTCTACTATACGCTATTGTTCCTACGGTATATAAACATGAATATTATGAATATACACCCCCCCCCCCCAATTAAGCGGTCTATATATATAGCTACGGCCTTGATAACATAACCGTCTAGCGATTGTCAACAAGAAATAATATAGTGCATGGAGAAAAACAATTATAGTAAGCAACAGGTACATGCGTGCATGTAAGGCAGTCAAATTTAGCTTTGACTTTTTAGCTTTGGAGTTGCGTAGCCGTAGTCTAAAGCTAGAAGGCCAAATAGACTACAGGTGTTTCCACATAATCTTCATAATATATAATCATTAGCATATACAATAACAGCGCTGTCGTTTAATTATAAATCTTCATTAGGATATAAAATGTTAGCTATAGAATGACATTTTATATCACTTGGTTTTAAAACTATAGTAATATACAACTGCGATATATGCATTCATATGTGGCCATGTTTAAAATTATTATCCCTTTGGCATTACTTGATTTGCTAGCCTTTGGAAGAACTGACGCTACTCTTTGTAAACCGAAAAACTATAGGATCATTATCACAGGTTAGTGCATGTACTAAGTGTTGCTCGAAATGTTTAAGAGAATGTATTATCAGAAAATACTTATGTATTTAGGTGGTCCATCATTACCCGCTGATGCGATAATATCAAGACACAACGTTACGTCATCGGTGGTGATGTTAGGATGTCATGCTTACTGCATAAGCGAAGCTGGGTGTGTTGGGTTTAACTACAGGACACTAAAAAGGGTAGAAAATTGCCAACTGACTAACGTTACAGACCACGGCGACAGCTTAAACCGGGGAGATTGGATATTATTGCGTTCTTCTGAAGCGGTATGTTAAAAGATCTATTACTGAAGTATTATATACATGTTGTGATGTAATAATATTGCTCCCATCTGTTTTTCTTCTGTGTTCTTTTAACTCGTGTCGGCAATTGCTGTTTGTAATTTTGACCACAAATATTATTAATTTCTTGTTAATTTCGCTTCTTAACGTTCATTAATAATTTTATTTGACATTTTTATGATCATATTGTTGGAAAATATTACCAATGCAATAATCGACATGCAGGTTCGATCCTCATATCAAAAATCCAAAATCGAGGCAAAAATTTATTTAAAGACAATATTATAAAGTCGTATTTTGTTTGCAAAAATACGATTTGGTTATAGGTAAACGGTTACCTTGATCATCTTATGCGGCAGCAACTCATTGCATTCACTTTGGGAAAGATTTTTATAGTAATTTTTTTCGGCATGTAGCTATGTTGCGTCTATGCGTCCACATTGTATCCTACAGATTGAGAAGAGCAAACTTGACGTAGGACGCTAAATTACGATTTCATGTTAAATACGAATATCGCGGCAAATCTTTATATTCATCTATTTAAAGATCATGAACTTTCTAAGATATAAAACTAATACAACTAACGACATCGCCCGGCATCGCGTAAATTAGATTGAGTTCATATAGCGTGTTAATTATAGATGCAAACATTCGCCGCAGGGTGCGAGTTGATTTTGTGATGAGTGTACGAAAGCCTTTGAACTTAAAATTTTGCTAGCAAAATGAACTACAAATGCCCTAAAAATGAACTAAAAATTTGAAGCCAGCACTCGGTAAGAAAAAATCGTCTTAATTAAACAACCTTGTGTACATACTTATAAGTCCTGAAAATTATCATTTCACAGCTGCCATGCAGATGTTTTAGAATTAAAGCGGCAGCAAAACAGAAATCTAAGAATGTGAACCAGTGATGCGTTTTTCATAATAATTTTATTACCAATTTCTGCGTTATCAAATCACATCGCGCTTTCATGTGACGAATCATAATGAGCTTTTAGAAAACATCAGTTACATTGCAGAATAACTTAAAATATCATCTGAAAATTACTCTTGTATACAATACATTCACAACAGGTTATTAAAATATAAACCAACAAACATTAACATTACTTTCTATTTGAACTCTTTATGCAGTGTGATGTCACATGTTTTATATAAGTCAGTCAATAGCTTGAGAAGGAAGAGGGTTAACAAACTTGTACAAAATAAGTTATTCAGTCAATTTTATCATGATTCGTCTTCTCACTGCAACCCAATAAAAAATTTGCATGGGGTGCAACAACAGCCCCTCGCAATTTCAAAAGAGTCACACGATTTCCTGAGTTTGTCATACCTGACCTTACTGTATTATCATGAAATTACACAAAGCTCAAATTCCTGCTTGTAACAATCTGAACAGATCAAAATCTTCAAAAGACAAAGACTAAAATTATTTTAAAGATTTATTTTTGGTAGGCTGCCTCATTTCCGAAGTGCATGCAGATTAGCTGGGAAATCCAACACACGTAAAATAAAAATACTTTTTATCAGCGTGTCAATACGATTTTGCCGTGCGTCGAATATTATTATTCTACTGAACACTTTTTTATATGTAATAAAACATGCAAAACTCATATTAATTATGGAACAGAAATAAATCATATCCCCTAAAGGCTAAAACTAAGCTAAGCGGATTTTTTCCTCTAGGAGTTGAACAACAATCATTCACCGAGCAAGGAAGGAAAAGGTATAAAATAAAACATTTGTTTAAAACTTTGATTAAAACTTTGATAAATGCAAAATTTTCAAATTTTAAGGTTCGTGCGTTCTTCCATTGAAGTTAGATAAATGTTGGAAATAGTATAATGGGCTGTTTTGAAAGAACATGCGGTCATACAAGCGAACCCAAAGCGAAACTCTATGTCACATATTAAATCTGCACATTTGATCATATAATTTTTATCATGTTAATTTGCGCATTATAAATTTTTATACTTATTATTACTGTTGTTTAGCACAGTATTTTGTCAAGATGTTTTGTAAACTGAAATAAAAAGGCAATATGAATAAGTAAATTAAACAACGGGAAAGGATTATCAAACTCCTGTACAAACTCTCCCCCTTTGTAAACGAACGGTCGCATTGCACATGGATTATTTTAACCTTGATTCTCGTTTGGGGTAAAAAGCTTTAGGATTGCAAGCCGTTTCTGACTTCTCATTTGTTTAATTAATGATTTTTCCTAATTTATGTGTATATAGCAGAATATTTTGTAATTATTCCAAACCGAGCAAACAATTGGGGGTGCGATCAAAGGGTGCGGTAAATGGCATAAAACAAGACTCGAACAACCTGGATTCTGTACCTTGATTCTGTTCATTATATGTTTATTCAAAATATCCGCGAAATGCGGGTATTTTTAACGGTTGATCCCAGGGCCTTTCCTCGTCTCACCTCCCTCCAGCCCAAAACTAGCCCAAAAGTCCCTAAAGGCTCTGGGAACGAGGTTGTTTGCACATGGCCTTATATAACTATATGCCTGCGGAATTGTTGAAATGTTATATTTTATGCCGGAAAATTTTTTTTAAAACCACTCAGCTATTTCAAAAAATAGGCAAAGGCCTTCCGTGACATGGGTTTTTAAGAAAATAATTTTTAACCCCTGAAGCTAACATAACTACTGCCTTTTGACAATCAGCAAAAATCAGCAGAACTACCTCTCACTTTGATAATAAATAATCCTGGGATTGATTAACTTCATCATTGCTTTAACCTATAAGTGGATGAAAAATAGCGGCGATGCAGAGATTTTCTATAGCTAAAATATTTGCCTCTGATAACAGAAAATTTGCATTTTATAGTAATGAATACGTTTAACGCAACTTTCTGCAATCTTGGAGCCACTGGCCGTTTGGGTCCAACTTTACTCGGTTCTTATTATATTGGTAAGGATCATGAGAAAATGGTAACCATTCAAAATGGTATACAATACTGGACAGTTCCCTACGATGGTACATACGAAATTACAGCAGTTGGAGCATCCGGAGGATATGACAAATTTGGGTCGTCTAGTGCGCGGGGTCGGGGGGCTTACATGAGAGGAGAATTTCATCTTAACAGTGGCGATGTGTTAAAAATATTAGTTGGGCAAGAAGGTGTTAAAAATATTAAAAGATATTCTTCAGGAGGAGGTGGAGGGACGTTTGTAGTTACAGCATCGAACACTCCTCTAATTATCGCCGGTGGTGGTGGTGGGACACAGAAACTAGACAACAGATTGCCAAACTGCGATGCAAGTATAAATACTTCAGGAAAGAAAAATGCGTGCAATGATTCATGTTCCACTTGGTCTGGCGGTGTTAATGGGAGCGGTGCTTTGGAGGCAGACGATCATTACTCAGGTATAATACCATGATCGTATTGAACCTCTTTTTTCTCACATGGGATGTAAACTTCGTATTTTTGTAAAATCAATTTTTTGTCTGCTAAATCTTGCCCATTAGGATGCATTGGAGGATTGGTATAGACAAAGAAATCCTGTGTTTTTTACTTTCCGCTTTCATAACTAACCTACGACACTTACATACCGCGAAAATTACGATTTTACTATCAATGCATATGAATTTCTGCGAACGCTAATCAATATCAACATTCGGACTACAAATATTGAATAAATGTGGAAATATAGCGTGTGCGTATCAGCGCCGAAATCCTTGTTCGATAATTTATTTGTCGAAATAATTCATTTGCAATTTGATACAGCTTGCTTCCGCCAATGCGGAAATTATGTGTGAAATTATGCGTCATCGGAATTTGTGTAGATCATTGTATAATTGTGATGTCAGCGAGTTCGCAGTTTTGTGTCAGTACACGTTTAGCCAAGCGAAAGATATATATTTAGTTCTAGGAAGGAGTAAGAAAAATATACATTCTGAACTTGAGAGCTTGCCGTTCACTGTCGACTTAGAACGGAGCCAGTTTTATATCACCAATATCTGACATTGAAGCAGTGGCGTAGCCAGCCTGACGATTTACTCATGCTATGCAAATTTTATGTTATTATCATTATTTATTTCTTTAGAAATTCGTTGTTTTCGCAGTCAATGAACACCAAAATATTGCCATAGCATGACTAGATTGTCGGGCTGGCTACGCCACTGCAATGAAGAACGCCTGAAAGAGAACCACGACTGTAGACAAATGACTTGATGCCTTCGATCTGTCCAGGCAAGAAGTTTTTTATGTTAATAAAACTTATTCTTAAACTCCGTAAGAGCACGTTGCCAAAGCTCCTCACTAAATACTGCCATCTTATTTGTAGTAGATGGTTATGAAAGACTGATGAGACGATTATTATGATCCATGTTGCATAATTGCATATCGATTTATTTTCCGCTAGATAATCACAATCATTATTTATCGCACTAACCAATCACAATCTATTAATACATATGTAGCTAATTAAGGCGCTGTTTACATGAGCCCGGTTACCCGAGATTCAACGAAGCGTGAGATGATTTTGAGGTATTGAAATGAGCAGATAACATGATCCTGGCAGTCGTATAATAACAACAACAATAGCATGTGCTTGTTTGGTGTCATAAAGACTTATTTCAATACCTCAAAGTCCTCTCACGCTTCGTTGAATCTCGGGTAACCGGGCTCATGTAAACAGCCCCTAAATAGCGTCGCCGTGATTCGTGCTGGCTAGAACAAGCTTTTGGGCGCTGGTGCATAGACGTTGCATCGTTTTTTTCAATGTCCGTCTATGTTACGTAGGCTACGCGTTATAAGCCTGCACGCGGAATGGGCAGAAGCGGTACGCCCAAAGCGTACGTACGGCAGGCACAGAAAATAAACACAGAGTGTTCAAAGTTAAGACTGGACATACTCACGGACGCAAGTTGGTCAGGGGCCGGTTGTACGAAAACTGGATTGCGCTTTTCACCGGATGGTAGTTTTTTCAATCGCTCTCTAATTTTTCGTCGCTCAATATAGCTTTGATTAAACTTGAGCATTCCTAAATTGCTGACCCTCTTTCATAACTGTCCGCTCCAAATCTATAATTTAATTGCCTTTAAGGTATATATACATGGGTTAAAAAATTGCTGTCCGGTGGATAGCGCTCGATAGCTAATTAGCCGTAATTCACCTAAAGAAATTGCACTCAGCCCCAAAAAACAGCAAATCGAATTGCCGACAATTCTTGTTTGATAATAATTATTAAATTAGTTTATTGCGACTGATGACATTAGCACGCAAACAAACAACTACCCCTTTAACAATTTACGTTTATCAAGGAGGTGGCGGCGGAGGGTTTTACAGCAATGGACGTAGTGGAAAAGATTTTGGCGGGGTATCTGGGGAGGGCGGAGAAGGAGGAAGAGCTTTTCTACAAGGAGGAGCAGGTGGTCGTGCACACTACTACAATGCTGTCGGAGGATTTGGTGGAGGAGGAGGTGCATGGGGATGGGGAAGAGGTGGTGGAGGTGGCGGTGGATATTCGGGAGGAGCATCTGGTGATAATAAATGGCATTCATGTGGAGGAGGAGGTGGATCATTTAATAGCGGAAAGAATCGTTTGAATAAAGAAGGATATCTTGCCACTGGTCATGGTTTTGTCGTTATCAAACTCTCACCTTAATTAAGTTTGTACAAATTAACTGGCGTCAATATTTGTCGATTAGATTACACTTTTCCATTCAACAACTACCACCTAAATAGGTTATTCAAATGAATGTATATCAATATAGAATGTTGATACTTTAATTTGGTTGTTTTCCATGATAATTGGTTCATGGTTTGAAATAACTTCAAGTGTACGGTCTCAGAGAATCACCACTACAACTATAGGAAAGTAATCCGGCAATTATATACTTGGCCGCAGCCCTCTTATATTCCCTCTTCATAGGCTTGCCAAATTGCCTCGAATTAACTCACATGCAACACTCAGAATGTTTGCGGATGACACTAACTTAACAACTGCATATGGAGTGGAAATGACGGCAAAATAAATAAAAACCAAAATAATGTCGGAATCGTTTTCGATAAATAAGCTAAATTTAAATATTGCTATAAAACTGAGACGTCGACGTTCTAATTGGATCAACTTATAAGATTTTTTTTGCATTTTTAAGCAATAATAATAATTTGTCATGGATGGATGCTGGTACATGACATGGCGAACCATGCGATCGAGCTAGGCCCCGTTGATGTGAACATCCTACGTGCTTTTCCTTCGCCTTGATCACATCTTGGATCTAAACGGCACCTCAGTCTCCTTCTTGTGCAAAAAAAGCAAACAAACACCCGAGGAGAGCATCCTGAAAAGCTTGTCTCGAAGGAAGAAACTCGTACCTTACATGCTCAATAGACCGCCATAAACCAGCGACAACAAGGCCATAATGATCTAGAAAAAAGGGGAAATCGGTTGCATTGCATAACGCTTTTCTAGATCTCATAACTGGTTGGTAGAACGGCTAAAAGTCTAAAACATGCTTCCCAAGGAGCAAATCTTTAACAGGTATCTCTTGCCGCGTATCGGAATCAGTTTGCATTTCGATTTTTCGAAAAGTATTTAGATATAGAAGCCGAGTAGAGCGAACGCAATCATGAATGAATTCCACCAAGACAAGACGCCTCGAACTGCATGGTAGATATTTGAGCGTTCTATATTTCAACATAATATTTACTTATGATTTAATTTTTTACAGCGACTTATAGACGCACAGCCAATCTTCAATCCCCGTCGATGTCTTCACTAGTGGACGGGTATTTAAAATACATAACCAAGTTAATATAAATATATAAAATACATAACAAGACTGTAAAGCATCTGGGGGTTAATAAAGTTTAAGGCAGGTTGAAAAAAAAACGTGAAGACATAAAGAATTTAAAGTTTGTATAAATATCTGTTGAAAATTTATAAATACCATCTTTATGCGAACGTTTTAAACGCAACTGGGCTAGAATTTTAAAAAGACTGCAAAGGCCAAACCGGTTTTTCAACTTGTCTTAAACTTTAACTCTACCCCCCGGATGCTTGACAAGCACACGTCGTCTGTTTGTTTTTCTGACCAATCAGATTCGTCCCTCAAACCACATTTCATGTCCCGCATGGTCCCACGATATTTTTGGGTAAATAGGCAAAAGTTTTGTACATTTTTTGTGCCTTTCATTTCTTTTTTAAAATATTTTTAATGGAATAATGTTGTTCGAGTATCTTAAATGTATTTTATTTGAGGTATTTTTGTTGTTTTGATATGAAATATATCGTTTCTGCTGAATATCGTTTCTGCTAAATGATCGAAGCCGTATAAGTAAAATCCTATATCTTGGTACAATTATATTGTCGCGTTTCGCCGCGATATATCTCAATCAGCTTTCACAAACAGACTCAGGAAAAATATCACAGTTTATTTACAAAACACAGCCTTATATACATTAACGCCCACACTATACTATACAATACATTTACAAACACAATACAAAACTGGGGTATCTTGCGTTCGTTTAATCATGCGTTCATGTTCACAACATCGCCCCCACCCAAACCATCAAATTGTCCCAATGATGGTGCACTCTCTAACTGTCCGTTTCCGAATTCCAAAGTTCTGACTGATCACCACGATAGGCCCATAGACGATTCCGATGAACCACTTTAAGTTTTCCCTTCGGGTTTCGTTGAATTCTATAAACAAGATCATTCAACCGTGTGATAACAACGTATGGTCCCTTCCAAGGCCGCATTAATTTAACGCTTCTTCCTCTCTTCTTGCGAGGATTGTACAACCAAACTTGATCACCCTCGTTAAATACATTTGTCGAACTGTCCACATCGTAACGTTTTCTCATCGACTCAAAGCTTTGTTCAAGATACTTTCTCGCGAACTCGTGTGTCACTTGCAAATTTTCTTGCAGTTCTTGAACGTAGGCAGAATAACTTTCAACAGTTTCCGGATCAGGTCGTCCACAAACTAAATCGACTGGAGTTCTAATTTCTCGTCCCATCATTAATCGTGCGGGGGTAAAATGGGTAGAAGCATGGGTTGCTGTTCGATACGCCATGAGCAGTAAGGAAACATACTTGTCCCAGTCTTTTTGGTGTTCAGCAACAAACAGGGAAAGTTGAGTTTTCAATGTTCTATTGTAACGTTCAACCATTCCATCGGACTCTGGGTGCAGAGGCGTAGTCCGAGTTTTCTTTATGCTGAGTAAGGAACACATTTCTTGAAACACGGTTGATTCAAAGTTTGTTCCCTGATCCGAGTGCAGTTCGAGCGGGACTCCAAATCGGCATACAAATTCATTTACTATCGCTGTGGCAACCGTTTTTGCTTCTTGATTTGGCAAAGGATATGCTTCCGGCCATTTCGAAAAATAATCCATAACTACCAGTAAGTAGCGATTGCCCTTTGTAGATCGAACCAGTGGACCCATTACATCGATGGCAACCCTCTCTAATGGCGCGCCAACAACATATTTTCCGAGACGAGCTTTCTTTCGTGTCACTGGACCCTTACATGAAAAACATTCCAAACAAGTAGAGCACCACAGTGTCACATCTTCACGACAACGAGGCCAGTAGAATTTCTCCTTTACCTTTTCCAGCGTTTTTTTTACTCCAAAATGCCCTCCGGTTGGGTGGTTGTGAAGATGAGTTAAAACTGCTCCTCGTAAAGCTTTCGGCAGCACCAGCTGGAGTCGTGTGGTAGTTCCGTCCGATGATTCCCACTTTCGACTTAAAATATTATTACGCAAACTGTCCCATTGTGCCCAGTAATTCTTCGTCGCTTCGCTAAGAGCCGAAACGGCGGACCACTGTGGTCTTCCATTAACATCTTTTATCCATTTAATTACATGCCCAACGTCTGAATCCATTTCCTGAGCCTTCATTATGTCTTGCGGGCCCACATTTTCAATGAGATTCTCACCTGCCAAATATTCACAATCTGCATCCTCAGCTGGTAACTGTCCTCTGATTCGGTTGGCCACCAACGTCGACCTGTGTTTCTCATTTTCACAGTAAACCTCAGGTGTTGCTCGCTCTTTTGACTCAGCTCTATCACAACTTTTGCAATGTTCCTTGAAACATGGTCGTCGCGACAATGCATCGGCGTTGAGATGATACTTTCCAGGTCGATGTTCAACCTGTAGATCATATTGTTGAATCTTTTGTAACCAGCGTGCGAGCTGACCTTCGGCGTTCTTAAAATTCATTAGCCACCGAAGCGAGGAATGATCTGTCCGGACAATAAATTTTCTTCCATAAAGGTAGGGATGGAAATGAGCTAATGATTTTACCACAGCTAGTAACTCTCTTCTTGTTGTACAGTACTGACGTTGTATACGATCAAGCGACCGACTAAAATACGCAATGACTCGCTCTTCATTTTTCTGTTTTTGTGTTAAAACAGCTCTAATTGCGACGCCACTTGCATCTGTGTCCAATATCAATGTTCCTTCGTCACTCAAAAAGGATAAGACCGGGGTACTTATCAACAAACATTTCAACCGTTGGAACGCGTTCTCCGTATCAGTGTCCCATACAAAGGGTACATCCTTTTGTGTTAGACGAGTGAGTGGATTTGCAATCTCAGCAAAATTCTGTATAAACTTTCGGCAGAGTTGCAAAAAAGCTGCGGGTACGCGGGTACCACCCGTGAGGAAGGTTTGCTTTGAATGAGGTTTGTGAGGAAGGTTCAAACATGTGCACATCATGCATGTATGAAAAACCAAATATTTCTTTATGCTGGTTGCCACTTGACTCAGTGACTTATCGTCATTTTGAGGAAGGTTTTCAAGACTTGAAATCCTACCGGAGGAAGGTTGAACTCTTTTTGCAATCCTGACTTTCGGTAGTAGGAACATAATCCCAAGAAACTTCTCATTTCAGCCAGGCAAGTTGGACGGGGCCAGTTCTTGACACTCTCCGTTTTCATGGGATCTGTTGCCACACCATTACAACTGATGATATGCCCCAAGTATCTAACTTCACGACGAAGCAGATTGCATTTTTCCGGAGAAAGTTTCAGATTAGCTTTCCTCAAACACGTAAACACTTTCTGTAAATTTTCTAACTGCTCAGGAAATGTTCTGCCATGAACAATTATGTCATCAAGGTATACTAGACAAACGTTCCAAGTTAACCCGGCAAGTACATGATCCATTAAGCGCTCGAATGTGGCGGGAGCGTTGCACAACCCAAAAGGCATTACCCGAAAATGCCATAAGCCCCCACCAATGCTAAATGCCGTCTTTTCTTTGTCTGAAGGATCCATAGCCACTTGCCAATAACCGGACTTTAAGTCCAGTGTGGAGAACCATTTCGAGCCACCTAACGCATCGATGGTGTCATCTATCCTGGGCAAAGGATACGAATCTTTGATTGTCACATCGTTCAATTTCCGATAGTCTACACAGAATCGAAGACTACCATTCTTCTTTGCGACCAATACTACGGGTGATGACCACGGGCTCGTTGATGGTTCAATCACACCGTGCTTTAGCATATCGTCCACCGCTTGGCAAGCCGCATCCCTCTTCACACGGGGCAGTCGTCGGGGCGGCTGTTTAATTGGGATTGTTGAACCGGTTACTATTCGATGTTTTACGATATCAGTTCTTCCAAGATCTGAAGAATCAGTGGAGAACACAGTAGTATTTTCAC